AAAATGAAGTTAGTCTACTTCAAATCACACACACAGAAAACAGATTTGAATCTGTCAAGATGAAGCTGTCAAGATCTGCTAGCTTCCAAGAACAGTACAAAAGATGATTTATCCAATGTGTGAGACAACTAAAATCTGTTCATCTAGTGACTTGGGCAATTCAAGCAACAGTGTATTCAACAACTTAACAGGTTCACAGCATGTATATTGAAAGCAAAACAACAAACTGTTTGAAATCAATTCACAAACACAGCAAATTCTTAAAACAAAAACCACCAAATCAAGTCAACACAGTTGTTGTCGTTCTTGTTGCAGTTTCAAAATATAGTTGCTATCTAAACAACACTTAATCCCAAACCTGCTGTGAAAATGGTTGCTGTCAAAATGGTGTATTAAGCAAGACAGTGTATGCTGGTGTACAATACAACACTGTCCTTTAAACTTGCTTATTCAATCAACTTTGCTGCTACTGTTCTTGTTTCATCTCAACACAAACAGCTTCCAAACCAACAAGTCTGATGCTATTGATGAGGAATTAGCAAAAATTTGAATAAATCAAATATCCAGTGAGTACGGACAAAGATTATTTCCCAAACAGAAGAACTATAAATTTGACTGTTGAACAATGAAATTCAAATCCAGACAAGATTTCGATTGATGAGAGAGATTAAATCAAAACACATATGTATGAACTAAGCCCGAAGGAACCTAATCCGGACAGAACAGCACAACATTCAATTCATTACCAATATAGGATTGAACGATTTATGAAACTGGGTAAGTGAAATTAAACGGATTAGAAGTCCACTCAAACTAGTTCGATGCACAACAAGTTCTAAACCGCTCACATATAAACTGTAAACCGGAGGACTTACCTGCTGAATGGATCAGAACCCTAATCCGGTCAAATGGTGACCGGTGTAGATGAACACCGCATGAAATCCGGTCAAGTGATGACCGGTGTAGATGAATACCGCTTGAAACATGTCCGGTGAAAGATGAATACCGCTTGACAAATAAACCTTACCTGAAATTGACCGGTGTACCTCTCCGTTCAAGGAATCCGATTAAACAGTCAGCGGTGAAGATGAATACCACTTGAAGTCCTATAATGTCTTGTGCGGTTTACCTCTTATCTCCATGATGAACAATCCGATTGAGAAACCTTCAATTTCTTCCTCCGTTCAATCAACAGTGTTCAATATTGAAGATGTAGGCGGACTAAGAGTCCGTTCAAAGTTGGGCTAAAAAATGGACTTAAGCCCAAACAAGAGAATTTAAGTGTTGGGAGGGCTTTGGACGGTTTAACAAAATTTAACACAACAAAAAAAATATAAACAGATTAAAACAATCAAAAACATAAAAACAAAAAGAAATTTAAGAGAAATTGGATCAAAAACACTGGTTTTAAAAAAAATTCAAGAACACGAAAAAAAATTGAAAACACAAAAACCGATTGAATCTTGATTAAAATTGATCAAAAAATAAAAGTTTGTGAATAACAAAGATTCACAATGCAATTTCGAGCATTTTTATCATGTTTTTAACGCAAAACACAAGATTTTATGAGAAAATCGGATCAAACAGAAAAAAAAAATCAAAAACACGAAGAACACGAAGAACAAAAAAAAATCAGAAATTAAAAAAAAAACTTATCTCTTTGATTTCTTCAATCTGATTTCTTGCATCCTGCTCTGATACCAATTGTGTGTCCACAATCACCGATCAATTCTTCATATCTTCGTAATCATACATGGCAGATTCTTAGATATTGCATTAAGAACATCAAGAACATTGAGAGAAAAAGTCAACTTGTAAATCTCAGTCAAACTCTCAATTATCAATGTATTATTACAATTAAGCTCCTCTCTTTCTAATTACAAAGACTTAACCATATTTATATGGTCAACCTAACTAAACAAAATCAAAGTCAAACATCTAAAAGGAAAGTCAAACACGCTGACTTTTTACAATTAGACTATATATAAACTTTCAAGACGAATACAATTAATACTGATTTCTCAGTCCTAACAACAATGATCTTATAAATCTCAATCCATGAGACTTGATCGATCTATATGGCCATACAGCTCAGCGACAGGATCAAGGGATAAGGTACGGGATGGCCAACAGAGTGATTGTATGGGGACACTAGTGAATTCATAGCTAAGAATGACTTCCAAATAGCTCTTGAACTAGGAATTGAAAGACCATCCTGCACACCTCCAAATGAAGATTTCTCAGGCTTACAAGAGAAGCGCTCTACATCGGTCCTAACTCAACCAGAACTCGGTTTGGTTTTCAAGAATGAGTATGGAGTTAAAAACTTCTTCAGACTGACTGAGGTCTTCAAGAATTCAACCGATACATTTGAATGGTTTCAGAAAGCCATTCGAGAGAGACTAGGCAGAGTGCATGTGCCAATGAAGGAAGACCAAGAATTGATCCATGGTATCTCCATAGTCGTTCGTTTCAGAGGACTGATGATGCGTTTTTGGAAGATCTATATAATGGAGACCATGAGTGAAATATTTCTTTATGTACTTTCAATTTCTTGTAAGAAATCATCCAACTTTTCGACCAATGAATTTTTTTGGCAAAATGATGTTTTTCTAGACTAGTCTATGTTCTTTATAATTCTTTCATTATTCATGGACTAGTCATTATTTATTTTTTCATTACTTAGGGGGATATTGTTAGTCCTCATCATTCTTATTTGTAAAAGTAATGAAAAAGACACAAGTGTGAAGGTACAGAAGGTCGATGGAAGACTAGCAAGGAAAAATCCTAAGTGTTCAATACAACCAGAGATGCGATGAAGGTCCATATGTGCGATGAACAACGCATCTCCATAACCCCTCTAGTCACCAACACTTGGAGATTTCAACAACAGTTCAACAAGAGATGTTCATTCAAGAAGACTCAAAAACTCATGGTTGAACACGCCTCCTAGAAAACAGCTGGAGATGACAAATCGACAGTTGGATTCTCATTGCTTTATTTAGTTTGATATAGTTTACATATTTCTAGATTGCTATCTTTCCTTAGAAGATTTGCGATATATCTTCCATAGATAGTTATATCCTTACTTAGATTACTAGTATAAATAGTCTTTATATTTCTTGTAATCCTTTACGCTTCCATATCATTAAAAATAAAAAATAGTGAATTCTTTGACACTTCAATTATTCTTTGAATATTCTTGAGTTGTTCATCACTATTTCCATTCATACGATACATTTAGGTTATTCATAACTTGAATAATCGTGTTATTGAGAGATCTGGGATCAACAGTACCAGAGACCCAAGTTAGGAGTTCGCTTCAAGTATCTAAAGATGCGTTTTACAGCTATCAGATGGGATTCCTTAGGTTCATATTGATATCGTGCACATAAGCAAGTAGAATACATGATATATGGTCGACTAGCAATTAGATACAATAGGGAGCCGATCATTCCTCTATAAACGGTTACGTTTACAGGCTTTCCATTTGGATTGTTGTTGAGAGAAAGTGGAGGAGCCATTGAAGTCTTCATAGATGAGCTATTTGATAGGTCAAACTTCTTCAGCATATCACATGTTAAACCCAGATATGACAGTAGAACAGTTTAATGGAATTTAAAAAGAGAATTGTAGAAGAAGATGAATAGAAATCGGTCGCCTCTTTCTTTATTGAATGGAAAATACAATCTCTCAAAAACCCTAATCGACTCTCATGTGATGTTTTTGAATTTGTGTGTTACAAAGTGTTGATAATTCATCTCACTTCTATTTACATGATAACTGAATCCTATAAATAAGGTAACTAAATCCTATAAACAAGGAAATAATCATTATCGAAAATGGGATCAACATCATCCTTCAAGATTTTGAAGATAGTCGTCCAGAGCATAGACCAACCAGAGGATAGACCAACCAGAGGATAGGCCAACTTGAGGATAGACCAACTAGAGGATAGGTCAACCAGAGGATATACCAACCAGAG